TGTCGCCCGCTCTCGCGAGGGCACGCCCCCCACAGTGAAAAATCCCTCAAAAAAAAAAAAAAAAACGCTATTAATACTTGTTCCGAGGCGCGGGTGACGTCACCGACGCTCTGAAGTGGTCCCTTCCTCTGTGAAAGGCGGCCCGGCCTGGCCCATCACCCACCTTCTCCGACACCGAGGGCCCGGCCCGCGGCCCGCACTCACCGTCCAGCTTCACCTGCTCGGGGCAGTAGTAGTGGATGACTGCCAGGAGCGCGGCCCCGTCACTGCCGTCCCGCATCAGGTCCTCCAGCACCGGGAAGCGGAGCGGCTGCCTCGGGCACAGGTGCTCTCGGCGATAGCGGGCCTGCAGGGAACAGGGCGACGTCTGTGTGCGCCTCTCTGCACCCGTGCCCACTGCGCACAGGCGCGCTCACCTCAGGGTGGCACTTGCCTGCCGGCCGCATGGAAGTCACAACCACCCAGAAAAGCCCAGGACGCTGGGGCGACATGCCTCGCCTGGAACATGTATGTCAGGACCCAGGGGGTTGGGCTGGCCACGCTGGGACAGCGAGCAGCTGGCAGTGTAAGTCCACGCCAACATGGAGGTGCAGCGGCCACGGCGGCACACGGGAAAGGGGGCAGGGTTGGGATGCGTGCCCTGCGGGGCCAACACACGAGACGGTGAGAAACAAGTTAAACCGTGACAGCCGGTGCCGAGCAGACCTGAGTCGCTGTGACTCTTCTAGGTACTGTCAGTGTTAACCTCAGCAGCGAGAAAAACGCAGACCGTGCTGGCGTGGACTGAGAACCGCAGGACTTCTCGTGACGCAGCAACCAGTCCCTCCAGTCACTGCGGAGCACGGGAACTGGGCGCACCAGGCGCTCCACAGAGCGTGGTCCCGGGAGCCGGCGCGGCTCTGCAGGTGGGGAGCCGAGCACAGGCGTCCTGAGCCCGCAGATGGCATCTGCTCCCGCAGCCGGGTGGGCGTATAAGCGCAGACCAGGGTGGCCAGAGGCGGGAAGCAGAGTCCCTGCCCTGGCCCACGGGACCCGTGTGCCCTCCGCACTCGCCCGCAGCACAGCTTGGGAACACGGCACTCCCCACCCACGATCCCCCGGAGGACGATGCACACGACAAGCTGGGGGACTGCGGTCTGGCGAGGGAGCTCCGGGTCTCTGAGGCCCGGGCGAGTGCTGCTCTCTAGGACGCCGCCTCGCACACCCCAGACCCGAGCTGTTCACGGTCAGCCAACACCTGGACGGAGTGTCTCCGCGGCCGCACAGTGAGCCTCGCTTGGGCTGGTAAGGTCTGCTCCAACACAGTTTAACTTGTTTCTCCAGGCCCACAGCACACACGACACATGGCCCACCTCACGACAAGCACACGTGCAAAGCCCACGGGCTCCAGCATGCAGTGCCCACCCATGCGCCAGGCCAGGTTCCACACAGATGCAGACACATGGGTGCGTGACCACAGCCATGCAGGAGAGCGGGTGGTTTCTCAAATCCAGACGGATGGGGTGGGTGTGAAGTCAGGGGCCCTCTGAACTGTGGAGACCAGGGCTGGTGCTACGGCCTTGGGGAGGCGCTTTCTGAAACCGCCGGGAGGCCGGTGAGACCTCTCACCTGCCACTCGACCAGGCCTGCCCAGACCTGTACACCGAACACCGCAGCAGGAGGCTGTCGACTGCCCCATAGAAGAGCCTGAGGGACAGCCCCTGGCCAGTCCTCTGCCCTGACCCTTACTGGGTGGGACAGGGACTCTAGTGCCCTAAGTCTGCGAGTGCTCCCCACTTAGCTCTTCGGCCCCCAGGGCGGGGAAGACACAGCTACGCTGGTGCCCTGTGGTGTGGCAGCCAAGCGCTGCAGGGGAAGCCCCGCACGGCCAGCCAGGGCTCGACTCCCAGCCCCGGCAGCTAGAAAACCACCGGGCGTGCCCAGACCCTGACAGATGGAGAAAGGAGGAAGAGGGACTGTGGTGGGACCAGGCCTCATTAGAGGCCGATCTCCCCTCTTCCCGCCCCACCTCCTGCGAACGCACATGCCCTGTGGCACTCGAAGACGTGAATATCCACGAGGATGCTCTCTTCTTTCCTGGTCAGGAAAGAAGATCCCTCAGGATGAGGTAGGTACATTACTGCTCACAGGGCCACCGACCAGCTCTGTCCACGCCACTTCCTTTACGACAGGACTCAAGGGACCACGTGGCCCGGGTAAGACCGACGGCACCGCAGTCACAGGAGGGCACAAAGTCTCGGCCCGCGGCTGGGTTCCCAAGGATGTGCTCCAGGCGTTTCCAGGGACCAGGTCCCACGGGCAGTGAGAGCAGTGGACCACCTCGCTGCCTGTTGGGCGTCCCCCCACTCTGCCTTTAGATGGCCTCACAGTGCCACGAGGAGCGGCGTCACAGGTGTGCACCACGCCTGGCTTAGCTCCTGCAGCGCTGTGGGTCAGCCCTTGCCTGGGGACAGGGACCAGGACAGCGGAGTGGCTGCAACCCCCAGAAGGCCAGAGGAGGACACCCGCAAGACAGCCCTTCTCTGCACCCCCCAGCAGCTCACCCTGGAGGGCTGCACAGCCAGGTGCGCTGGCCCCAGCCACTACGGCTCCGTGGGCAGCAGCGCCACTGGAAGACGGGAGAGGGGGGAGGGCCTGGGACACGTGGCTGTGCAGGTCCTCAGAGGAGGAGCTGAGGGACTGGGCTGCACGGGGGTGTCCCCAACTGCCCGCCCGCAGGGCCCATGGGCCCGCTCTGAAATGGCAGGTCCCGGACAGACAGGCACACAGACAGCAGCAGTGATGGCGACAGGATGGCAGTGGCAGGGTGGTGGCCGGGCACACTTACGGGCACTAACTTCCAGTACCACTTGGAGGGGGACTGCTCAGGAGGCGAGAGAAGGAAGGCGGAGGAGTCAGCAGGTTGGCGCCCGCCCGGTCCCCACCCTGCACAGCAAGTTGGCCTCTGTAGTGGGCCGAGCTGCCGGGATGCCGCACCAGCCCACCCCGCTGGGGGACCACATCGCCACCCCACAGTAGCGAGGGTGCTCGGCACGGCGGGCAGGGGCAATGCTCAGCCTGCGCCCACGTGTTTAGATGCCAACGGGGCGGGGGGGGGCACAGTGCTGCTTCGGAGCCAGCCAAGGAGGCACAGGTGGGCGGCCAGCTAACGGAAGCATGGCCAGAGAGGAGGGGGCAGGGACCCAGGGAGGAAGGCACACAGAGGGCCGGGGCAGGGCGAGCGCGCCACAGCCGGGCGGTGTCACATGTGCTTGGCCAAGAGACTCATGTTAGGGGAAGAAACGGACGAGGGACCAGCACAGGTGACACGCCACCTCAGCACCCCGTCAGGCAGGCATCAGCCGCCCAGCCAGGTCCGGGTACGTGGCCTCGTGGGTGAAGCCAGGGCCCTCAGGTGCCATCAGCAGCAGGCCCCCTCCTCTCCACTAACTGGCAGAAGCCCAGCTCCCCTCACTCCTGCACTCACTCCCCCAACAGGCCCTCACCCTCCCACTCCCCAGAAGACAGCCTAGCTAGGGAAGGACAGGGACAGGCTGCCGCGGTCACTTTGCAGTCACTTCTCGGGCGACACCTAGGGTCAGCTGGCCAGGAGGTCGGTCCCAAGAGCTGCTGCTCCTGCGGCGATGACAATGCAGAAGGCAGGGAACTGGCCGGCCCGGCGCCCCAGCGACAGAGGCCCTTACCCTTACCTTCTGGTGAGCCGGGGCTTCCAGCGGCTGCTGCTTCAGCTTCACCTCCTTCTCGGTTATCTCCCTCAATTTAAGATTTACCTGAAGCAGGACAAGAGGCATTGAAAGGGCCATCGCTTTCCCTCTCTGGGGTCTGTATCTCCACCACATCACCCAGAGACCTTCACCCACATTCACACCGACTCCCGAAGTGGTGTCACCTGGGTCACTTAGGAGGAAAGAAACTCATGGATGCGTGACATGTGACACAATGGGTGAAGTTGCTCAGGCCTCTGGGTGCCGCCTCGCCCTCACCCACCACACTCCCCACCACCCTGGGCGAGGGCCACATCCACAGCGCACTCCCGACCACGGGGGAGGGCCACATCCACAGCAAAAAAAACGAGGGCCGCGTCCACAGAGCACTCCCCACCACGGGCGAGGGCCGCGTCCACAGCGCACTCTCCACTGCCCTGGGCGAGGGCCGCGTCCACAGGAGGGGGAAGTAAGGGAAGACAAGAAGGCTGGTGGAAGGTTGGTGCTGATTTTTAAATTTTTTATTTTATTTTATCTTTTGAGATTTTTGCTATAGGGCACGTGCGCGAGACAGAAAAAGACAAAGAAACAGAAAACAAGAAATCACCCCCAGGGGGATGGCCACGTTGCAATCCCTTCTCCATTCTCCTCTTAGGCACGCATGCACACGTACCCAGCGTGAGTTTTAAACCCCTGAACCATGGTCAACTACGTGGGAGTCCAGCAACATAACCATTACGCTATCTGCTGGTCCAAGTGCCAAATCAAAATAAATTTTTTTGGAAGTTTTTTTTTTTTTTTTTTTGCTATAGGGTGCATGTGCTTGCCAGGAAGACAGAGACAGAAAGCAAGAAATCAAACCCCGAGGGGATGGCCATGCCGCAATCCCTTCTCCATTCAGCTCTCAGGATCTTAGACACACACACGCACATACATCCGGTGTGAGTTCAAGCCACTGGGTCCAAGACTAAAACCGTGGTCGACTACATGAGAGTCCTGCGACACAGCCATTATGTCAACTGCTGGTCCTGCCAAATTTTTAAAAACGAAGTTGGGGTAAGCTGGGGCTGGGGCCAGCCTTGCCCTTGAAGCAACCCCCACCCCCCGGCAGAACCAACTGGAACCACATCTCCCACTGCAGGGGAAGCTGCCACCCTTGCCTCCCTGTCTAGACACAGCACCTGAGAAAGGCAAGCCAGGCTGAGGCTGGTTCGGGCAGCCCGAGCTGACCCTGCGGCCACAGGGCCCTGCCAACCTGCCAGAAGCAGCTTCGGTCTGACCGGGGGCGACGAGGGCCTGGCAGCTCAGTGTGGTCTGGGCACCCGGGTCCTGACACGAACCCAACGCCATCCGTGAACATGCCCAGGTGCTCTGCCCACCCCCAGGTGGCCAGACGCCCGCGGCAGCCCAACCAGACCTGGTGCCCGGGGCCCCACCATGCAGCACCCATGGTAAGAAAGGAAACGTCCTCCCCCGGGCCCTGGGGGTGAGCAGGGGGGCACGTGGAGCCTTACGCGGGCCCCGGGCTGTGCTCCCGGTGCCCAGGCTGCAGAGCATGGAGCCAGCCCGCAGAAAGGCTGCCCAACACTCAGGAGGGTGACGGCGGCACACCGCAGTGGCCAAGCTTGAATTCCGGGCAGAAGGGAACGCCGGGAACCTTCGCCACCCAAAGCTGGCCAGCTCCCCGCTGTGCTGCTCCTGTACCCACCGCCAGACCTGGTCACATCCAAGGCCTCATTCGACAGGTTCTCCCCGAACTGCAGGGGCACAGATCCGGAGGAACGCAAGCATAGCCCTGGGATTCACCGGTTCTACTCAGACAGGTCCTACCAGGTCGGGTCCTCCTGCCTCAGCCTCCTGGGCAGTTGGGGCCCCAGGCACGTGGCCATGCCCGGGCACTCGGGGTGGGCTGGGAACCAAGCACATGGCTGCTAAGCAGCACCCGCCAGTGTGACCACAGGACCACATGGATTCAGGGACAGCACAAAACAGGGCTCAGGTACCCCAGACACCGCTCTCCTCTCACAGTGACGGCCAAGGGCCCAGGAGGCAGAAAGTGGGGCGGTCCCAGGGGGTACAAAAGTCAAACCACCCGGTTTAAACCTCCTCTTACAGAACCCCAACCCAGCGACGGAGCCACATTCTTTTCTGGATCACACAAATGCTCGGCCATGGAGACACCCTGGACGGAGGTCCCCTGGACGGAGGCCCCCTGGTAGGCCAGCAGAGACGTCCCAGGAAATGCACGTTCTCTGATGAGACCTGGAAGTGAGAAACAAAGCACAGGACCAGCAGTTGGTGTAATGGCTACGTGGCTGGACTCCCATGTAATTGACCGCAGTTCCAGTCCCAGACCCGGTGGCTTAAACTCACGCCGGGTGCGTGTGCGTGCATGCCCAAGATCCCGAGAGGAAAATAGAGAAGGGATTGTGGCGTGACCATCCCCCCGGGGGGTGATTTCTCACTTTCTGTCCCTCTGTCTCTCTCTGTCTGTCTGGTGAACGCACGCGCCCTATAACAAAGACCTCTCCAAAAATAAAAAAGAAACAAACAAACAGCACAGTCTAAGGGAGCCCGACACCTTACCCACCACACCGCCTGCACCCGGTCGGTATTCACCCCAAACAGCACAGTCTAAGGGAGCCCGACACCTTACCCACCCCGCCCTTACCCCCCACGCCGCCTGCCCCCGGCCGGTATTCACCCCAAACAGCACAGTCTGTGGGAGCCCGACACCTTACCCACCACGCCACCTGTCTCCCCGGCCTGTATTCTCCCCAAACAGCACAGTCTGTGGGAGGCCGACACCTTACCCACCACGCCGCCTGCCCCCGGCCGGTATTCACCCCAAACAGCACAGTCTAAGGGAGCCCGACCCCTTACCCACCACGCCACCTGCCTCCCCGGGCCGGTATTCACCCCAAATAGCACAGTCTAAGGGAGCCCGACACCTTACCCACCATGCCGCCTGCCCCCGGCCGGTATTCACCCCAAATAGCACAGTCTGTGGGAGCCCGACTGGCCCACCTGTCAGGAGCACGGACTCCAAAGCCATCAGGCCATGGCCGGTCGGACCCCACCTGCGGCACCACTGTGCCAGCGCACCTCTGGGCCTGGCACCGAGACCACAGAGTGGAGGGACCGCCATCACGGCTCCTGGCACCCGCCCTGGGACGGAGGCTGGCTCGACGTGCAGAAGCCGAGTGCTGTACCCCCTTGACAAGCAGGCTAGAGGGGGGCCATGCAACCCCCGTGGACGAGGCACCCTGAGCAGGGCGGGCCTGCGGCGTGGGGTGAAGGTGCTGACCCGTACGGCCCGCTGTGCGGTTCAAGGCCAGACTCCGCGGCCTGTGTGTGCCCAGAGCCCTGAGAGAGCAGAGGAGAGCGGCTGTGGTGCACCAAACCCCGGGGTGCTTCCTCACTCTCTGGCCAGCACACGGCCCTACAGCAAAAGGTTACAGAAGAAAAGTATCCCCTCTTCAGGGCACCAGGGCGTCTCGGAGAAGGATGCAGGTCCCTGTGGCTCCTAAGCAGCGCTGAGTGCCCCCTGGGAGTACAGAAGACACCTGCCTGCCCGGAGCCTCCGACCAGGGCAGTGAGGAGGGAGGCCCTAGCTTAGAAAAGAGTGAGAAAGAAGCACACCTGTCTTCACTGACAGTTGGCATGCTCTTGAACGGAGAAAAAAATCTTTAAAGAATTATTTACTTATTTGTTATTATTTTTTAATCTGACCAAAGAAACAAAGAGAGAAAGGGAAAGTGAGAAAGCAAGCCGCCAGGTCTGGGACTCAAACCGCCGTCAGTCATGTGTGAGTCTAGAGCCTTAACTGCCATCTACAGGCCCCAACAAAGAAAATCTTAAGAAATATTTTTTGAATGCCACTAACACTAATAAATCATCCCAGCAAGGTCAGGGACAGGTGGCCCTACACAGCACACCTGCAAGAGCTGGTGAGCGGTGTCTACACAGCAGAGACACAGCCTTCCACGGACTGGGAGGCCCCACAACGTGAACGCAGCCGTCTCTCCAACTGACCCACCCCAACGCACTCCCAGTGGAGACCTGGGGACTACGTCTGTAGAAACCGACAAGCTGACTGGAAAACTCCTGCAGACGTGCACAGGGCCTGGAACAGCTAAAACAAGGCTTTTTTACTAAAAAGGACAGTGGGAGGGCCCTCGCTGCCCACGCTCAGCGGCACTGTACACCGGCCAAGACCTCCCGGAGTGGCACCGACCTACACAGGTCGGTGGGACAGGATCGAGTCTGGAAACGGGTTACCACAGAGGGCGCCTCGGATTTCCACCACAGCTGCAATGGAAGTCAATGAGCAATTGAACCTCCCCCACAGACGGCTCGGCGTCACCCTCCGCAGGGAGACGAGCGGGCCTGGGCTGTCCCTGGAGGCATTCACGAAAGCCAGTTCCAGCCAAACGTCTAGAAGACAGAAAACGCCCTCCACGTGGGAGCAGATGGCTCAGGCAGGGCACAGAGGGCAGCCGACACCGAGAAAACGGGGCGGGGCAGACCCGGAGAAGCACTGGCGGCACCTGTGTCCGCACGTGTGTGAGACACGGTGCTCGGTCCCCAACACGTGCACAGGTTACCTCCTGCAGTGTGACTGGACGCGCAGCCACGTTAAAAACTAGCCGGAATATCTGAACGAGGAACTGACAGGACACAGACACCTTTACCCAAGGGAAAGGCAGACTAAAACCGCACAGCCAGCCGCGGGCAGCTGGGTCCCCGCCTCGTTGGCAAGGACTGAGGGGGAATGTCACGTTGCAGAAGATTCTGGCACTTTCTGCTCAACACTCAAATATGCCAGTAACTGACTTCATCCCGCAGCAGCCCTGAGCACTGTTCACAGAACTGCAAATGCGCCTGGTCCCACAGGCGGGCACAGCTTCATCAAGGACAGGCAGCGACGGGAAACACCGGTCTCCGCCAACGGGGATGACAGGCGAGCCGCACGGGGACAGGGATGGGACGGCGCAGAACCAGCCACTGGCACAGGCCACTGTCACGGGCCCGTCTCAGAAACCCTGCTTGGTGGGAGAAGCCAG